TCCAACTACGCCACGATCGAGTAGAGTCTTCAGCGAGTTGGTAAGGCGAAACGGACCAATTGGATTGGAGTAGGCGGCTTCAAAATGGCGGGTGGTCCAAAGATGGGGCATAAGATTTCGCGCGGCTCAGATCGTGGATCAGAGCTGGGCCGAGCCGAGTCGGAGTGAGTCAGTCCGTGCCAGACTGGGCCAAGGTGCGATTGGATAAGATGTCAGATTAGTCGGCCCAGCGGGTCTAATCTCGTCACATGATCTCAATTAGGCGGTCGTCGTATCAGCAGGGCCCTAGTTGGCGTGTGGGGGCCTGCCGCCGTGACTGTTAATCGACGTGGGCGACTGAGTCATGAGGCGGAGGGGAAGGCTGACGCGACAAATGCCCAGTTGACGCGACCCAAGCCCGCGACACCACCTCTTCCAGCATTCAAGCCGCCAGCACTGCCTCCAAGACAGGCAGGCGAGTCCTCTCGCAGAGCCACTTGTCGTGGCTGGTGGGCTGGCCGGCCGGCCTGTCGACTCTGGCTGGCCACGTGCCCGCCACGCTGAGGCTGATTAAGTGTCAGATGATTTGCATCGAAAATCGATAAGTGACACATTCAAAATCAACTCTCCCGACAGACTAGGAAAAAGGGTCGATCATTCCATCACAGTCAGTCGCAGTCGGTCGCAGTCAGTCGCAATCAAACGACCAATCATTCAGTTACTCAATCATCCAATCAATCAGTCAATCAGGGGGTCAGTTAGTCTGTCAGTCAGTCCGTTAGTATTCTGTGATTTCGGCAGACAGACAAAGCTGGCGTGCCGGCTGCTTTTCCGGCTATTTCATCGGCGTCCAACTCGAGTCGGACCTGACTCGCTCTTCACGCGTCCGCACGATGCGGCGTGCATTCATTGAAATAACAGCAGCCCTTTAGGTCCCATCCGAAGCGCAAGCATCGCCTGGGCCGGTTGTATCGACCCGCCTCACGGGCTGGTTGACCAAAAAGACGTCGGAAGCGGCTTCGGCGTCGGCGTTGGCTTCTGCGGCTGCACTCCGTAAGTGAACCTGTTTGGCTCGCATGCAATGTGCCCATTATTTGAGCTATTTTGGGGCTCCTTTTCTCCGCCCTTGCATCCCCAACTCTGGCCCGCTTAATCGTCATTTCGTCTCTTTCCTACTGTCTGTCTGTTTGTCTGTCTAGCTCTTTGGCAATGTGAGTATTTTTGTAGGTATGTACGCCTCTCCATGGGCTTCACTTTGCCCATGGGACATTTGGGACAAACGTCTGGACATGGACTCTTCTGTGATGGCAGTGATGACTCTGCTGCCGCGCTGTCAGCCCTTTGGCCTTTGTCGAGCCGAGCGTCCGGTCTCTATCAGACCGGACACCCAACTGTTGTAAGTATGTTGGTCCGATTGGCAGCACATACGCGGACAAGTGGGCCGCAGTTGAAGAGCTTTGCTGTAGCGTTGTCACGACGGCCGCGTCTGCCTCTCAACACCGATCCACCTATTCACTCCGTCCCTCTCCACTCTCCTCCACAGTCCTCGCCTCCACATTTACCTTCACCTCATTCCGCCCCTGTCCAGACGTCTTGGGCGAAACAGCACAGGCTCTGCAATGTTGGCGCACTCGAGCTGCCCCCCAGTTGCCATGCCACCGTGTCGTCATGTCCTCGTTGTTGCTCCATTCGCCCAGCTCTGGTGGACGTCCGGTTGGAGCCAGTGCCATGGCCTGAGTTCCGGCGAATCGACTGCTCACTTCCAAGGCAGAGTTGGTAGGAAAGGACATTTTGTGGTTGGTTCCAAAGGAGACTGAAGGATTGTTTGAGTATGTGAAGACGTTCTCGGCAAAACGCAAGACGGCGTGGATGTGTTACGCGTTTCCCAGTTTTAACTAACTTCAAGCCCTCCTCAACCAAACACAGAGAAAAGTACATGTCAAAAGTGAAGGAGTAAATCTGTCGACTTCACTTATCCGGAACCATGTACGGGGAAACATGAACTGGCAGTTTAGTGTTTTGACGTCAGTAATGGTGGGAAAGTAAATCAGTTAATGAGATGTATTCATTTTTCGAATTAAGTATTATTTTCGTGACAACCAGTAAATCAGTAATATGAGATATATTCATCCAATTTCGTTTAAGGTGATGAAGGACTGATATACGAATTTTCCCACAATGATATGAGTAGAGCTGACGTTTCCATTGAATTTCGCATTGCCTTGCTTTCCCAAAAGC